TGCTGAGCTGTGCAGTGGGTGGAGGGTACGCAGATGGGTCCTGGTAGTCACAGAGAAAACCAGCGAGCTGGGCTTGTCCTGGTGATGAGTCTCTGGAGCAGCAAGCATGGAGTCATATCTGTCCTCCTTAACTGTCAGGCCTCCATGTGCAAGCCCGGACCCAGAATATCTGCAGTCCTGCCTGCCTGGGCTGTAATTCGAATACTCCTCACCTCACCTCTTAACTACTCGTACCCCAACCCCACTGGAACTGAACTTATGGCAATGTACACTCCCTGCCCCTACCCCCACCACTGTAGCTGATCTTACTCTGTAACTTTCCACTGCCCACCCAAACCTACAAAACCTACTCCTATCCCACCGCCCTTTGCTGACGCCCTTTTCGGCCTCAGCCCACCTGCACACAGGTGAATAAACAGCCATGTTGCTCACACAAAGCCTGTTGGGGGGGGTCTCTTCATTCAGGGCGCACGTTTTAACATTAACCACATCCCCAGGGGCCACCCACCTTCTTCCCAGGTGAATCACCCATGCAAAATTGCAAGTCAGCAACGCATTTTGCCTTTGGACTACTACCCTGGAAAGGAGACGTCCACCTGGCCCTTCTTACCCGGCTGGCTCTTGCTCTGCAGGTCAGTGTGGGAGTTTCCAAGTTGTCAAGTGTGACTGTTAAAATTACACATTCAGGCCGGGCATGGTGGCTCTCACCTGTAATCCCAGCACTTTGGGAGGCCAAGACGGGTGGATCATTTGAGGTCAGGAGTTCAAAACCAGCCTGGCCAACATGGTGAAACCCCATCTCTAAAAAAAGAAGAAAAAAAAAAGTAACATACAGGGCCAGGCACAGTGGCTCACGCCTGTAATCCCAGTACTTTGGGAGGCTGAGGCGGGTGGATCACGAGGTCAGGAATTCCAGACCATGCTGGCTAAGATGGTGAAACCTCCTCTCTACTAAAAATACAAAAAATTAGCCAGGTGTGGTGGCATGCACCTGTGGTCCCAGCTACTCCGGAGGCTGAGGCAGGAGAATCGCTTGAACCCAACCCGGGAGGCGGAGGTTGCAGTGAGCCGGGATCTTGCCACTGCACTCCAGCCCGGGCAACAGAGAGAGACTCGGTCTAAAATAAAAAATTACATATTCAGGAACTGGAAAAACAACCACAGATGAGGTCTGTGGACCCCCCTACCAACTGAGCACCACACGCCCTCCCTCTTACTGGCAGGCCAGTGGCATCTTGAACCCCTGGGATTAAGAATGATTCAGAACCCATAAAGATTACCACCCATGTCATTTCCCTGAAATAACTGATTTTTCCGGCCAGGCACCGTGGCTCACGCCCGTAATCCTAGCACTTTGGGAGGCTGAGGCTGGTGGATCGCCTGAGGTCAGGAGTTCCAGACCAGCCTGGCCAACGTGGTGAAACTCTGTCCCTTCTAACAATACAAAAATTAGCTGGGCATGATGGTGGGCACCTGTAATCCCAGGTACTTGGGAGGCTGAGGTGAAAGAATGGCTTGAACCTGGGAGGTAGAGGTTGCCGTGAGCCGAGATCGGGCTACTGCACTCCAGCCTGGGCAATAAGAGCAAAACTCTGTCTCAAAAAATAATAATAATTGTAGGGTCCAGCCCTACAGGATTCTGTGATCCCCTCCCGGCTGGCGCTTAGACGAGAAATTGTAGAAATAAAAGACAAAAGACTCAGAGATAGAGAAAAAGAGAGTTTGGGCCCAAGGGTCCACAAATCGCAGAGACCGGCAGTGGCCCAACGCTGGGACGCTCGCACTTTTATTGAGTTGCAGATCTGGGGGCAGTGAAGGTAGGGCGTATGTAGGGCGTGGCCTTGGTGGTCGGTGACTGGGGGCAGGGTAAAATAGGGCGTGGCACGCAGGTGGGGGTTCAGGAATTAGCGAAGATGATGAGTTAAGCAGCATAATGTTTCAGCACTTTTCCATACTTGTTAAGAAAGAACAAAGACATTAGTATTTATATTACTCTTACTGATTATCTTTTCTAAGAAGAAAGGAACCAGGTACACACACGGAACGTGACCACTGAAGCACAGCACCACATAGAGACAATTAAGCTCCCAATGTCTGTGGGCCTGCCTGACAGCTGTCAGGCCGTACCATAAGAGCTTGGAGAATCGGGGTTTTTCTTCTGTCTCCTCTGGGACGTCTCAGCTATTTTGGACGTCTTCTTCTCCAGCTGGCTAAACAGCGGGTGCTTCCCCAGTGCTGGCGCTTCGGCATAGCTGAGGCGCCCTCCAGGGCATGACAAAGGGTTTAGAGCATCTTGCCTCAGTGTCATTCATTTCACAATGTCACCCCAGGTTTGCATTTCCGACCTCAGAGTCATTAGTAAAAGAATGAAGATCACCTGTGAATAACTAATAACTACTAGGGTTATATTTCTAGTTACTTCTTCATTATTCATATGGAAATAGGCTGAGGCTTTTGGTTCCTGCCTTGGCACTTATGGGGTCTTCTCCCTACAAATAGTAACTGATTCTTCTTTTTTCCCAGGGCACAGTCACCCCTAGCAAACCCCACAGGTACCCTTGGAGAATGCTTGGAGGAAAACATGGCACGTGCTGGTATCAGTGTTGTGGGGCCCTTGCCCCAGCGTCTCAGCCCCTCTTCCAGCGAGGACTCCAGTCTGTGGATTGGTTTCAGCTGGACGGTGGGTGCGAGGCAACCTGTCCCTCATGATGACCAAGTTCTTCCCAGGTTCTGTTAATGCCCTGCTCAAGGCAATGCCTTGAGACCCAACAGCTCCTGTTATGTTTGTGTCCCCTGAAATTCATATTCGAAAGCTGTCAGCCCTGATATGGCCGCATTTGGAGATGAGACCCCTAAAGAAGTGATTAAGGTTAACGGAAGTCACAAGGGTGGGGTCCTGATCAGACAGGATAGGCACCCTTATGGTAAGAGACACCAGAGAGCTCCCTCTCCCAGTCGTGTCGGCAAATGTGAGAAGGCCATGTTCCCAACCCAGGAAAGAGCCCTGGACAGCACCAGACACCACCAGCACCTTGATCTTGAACTTCCAATCTCCAGAACTAGGAGACATTTTTGCTAAGCATCCCCACCCCCAGTCTGTGGTATTGGGATAACAGCCTGATATGGTTTGGATGTGTAACCCCACCCAAATCTCATGTTGAATTGTAATCAGGAGTGTTGGGGGAGGGGCCTGGTGATTGGCTGGAGGGGACAGATTTTCCCCTTGCTGTTCTTGTGAAGGTGAGTGAGCTCTCAGGAGACCTGCTTGTTGAAAAGTGTGGCACCTGTGTCAGTTTGCTGAGGCTGATAGTTTCCAGGTTCATCCATGTCCCTACAAAGGACATGAACTCATCGTTTTTGATGGCTGCATAATATTCCATGGTGTATATGTGTCACATTTTCCCTGTCCAGTCTATCATTGATTGGCATTTGGGTTGGTTCCCGCATGTTCTCTCTCATAGGCAGGTATTGAACAATGAAATGAGAACACATGGACACAGGGAGGGGAGCACTACACACTGGGGTCTGTTGGGGAGAAATAGGGGAGGGACAGCGGGGGGTGGGGAGTTGGGGAGGGATAGCATGGGTAGAAAAGCCAGATATGGGTGAAGGGGAGGAAGGCAGCACATCACACTGCCACGTGTGTACCTATGCAACTATCTTGCATGTTCTTCACATGTACCCCAAAACCTAAAATGCAATTAAAAAAATAATAATAATTAAAAAAAAAAAGTGTGGCGCCTTCCCCCTTCGCTCCCTCTCTCTCCTGCTCTGCCATGGTAAGACATGCCTGCTTCCCCTCTGCCTTCTGCCATAATGTAAGTTTCCTGAGGCCTCCCAGCCATGCTTCCTGTACAGCCTGCGGAACTGAGTCAATTAAACCTCATTTCTTTATAAATTACAGTCTCAGGTCATTCTTTATAGCAGCGCAAGAATGGGCTAATACAGAGCCGAAGAAGCTGACTCCAGCAGCTTCTGAAGGGCAAGTGCACCAGCAAGCTTGGGCAAACCGTCCCGTCCAGAGCACACACAGCACCCCTTTAGAACAACCGCAGCATTCTCACACATGCCTGCCTTGGAATCGACTTCTGATTCTGCAACACAGCAGAGCCCCAGCACTGGCCACTGAGCTTCCTGAGCAACCACCATGCTAAGGCATGGGGTCCTCCCCAGGTCCTGGCCCGTGGTTGGAGAGTGGTGTGCCCCCAAGCTCCATACAGCACTCTCCAACCGCTGTACACCCCTTCAGAATTCAGCTTCACACACTTGACTCTGGGAATGACACTGACATTTTACACCTGTTTCCCAAAATGATGCTGCTATGGCTGGGCTGTGTCTCCCCCAAATCTCATCTTGAATGTAGCTCCCATGATTCCCACGTTGTGGGAGGGACTAACTGAATCATGGGGGTGGTTCCCACATTCTGTTCTCATGGTAGTGAGTAAGTCTCACGATCAGATGGTTTTATCAGAGGAAACCCCTTTCACTTGGCTCTTTAATTCTCTCATCTGCCACCATGCAAGATGTGCCCTTCGCCTCCTGCCACAATTGTGCCTCCTCCCCCCACCTTATGGAACTGTGGGTCCGTTAAACCTCTTTTCCTGCCAGGTGCAGTGGCTCACACCTGTATTCCCAACACTTTGGGAGGCTGAGGTGGGCGGATCACCTGAGGTCAGGAGTTCAAGACCAGCCTGGCCAACAAGGTGAAACCCCATCTCTACTAAAAATACAAAAATTAACTGGGTGTGGTGGTATACGCCTGTAATCCAGGCTACTTGGGAGGCTGAGGCAGGAGAATCTCTTGAACCCAGGAGGCAGAGGTTGCAGTGAGCCGAGATCACACCATTGCACTCCAGCCTGGGTGAGAGAGCAAGACTTCATCCCCAAAAGAAAAAGAAAAAAACTTTTTTAAACCCTCTTTTTCTTTATAAATGACCTCATCTTGGGTATGTCTTCATCAGCAGCTTGAAAATGGGCTAATACACATGCAGTTTCAAGTATTTGTTCCAAAAAATACTTTTATTTATTAAACAATATATCCATAATCTATGACATGATCCAAAAATACAGATATACATCTTTACATTATTTAATAAAAAGATTTACAATAGTATCTTTCCTTTACAAAGAGAACATAGATAATAATTCCTCGAAAATAAAATGTAACATTCCTGTTAAAGCTGCGTCATCTTTTTGGATGAAATGTGGTTCAGAGTGAACGCCATAAAATACATACAGAGGAAGAAGGAAACCTCAGTAAAGTCTCTCCCGAATGGGAACATTTTCTGACACTTCCCCTGGCTTAAAATTCCTCTCAGCACAGGTAGTGAAGGCCAATCACTGCTCACTAAAAATTTAGGAAAACCTTGTCTTCAATGCCCAAAATAAATATCCCTCACTGCTTTTTTTATTCTAAATCATGAAGACCTAACCCAAGACAGGAGTTCAAGACCAGCCTTGGCTCTGTGGCCATGTGGGAAGCCGCTCTAGGCCAGTGTTATTGCTCAAAGCAGCCCCAGCCAGGACTCCAGGGCAGGACAGGAGGTCAAGTGTGGCAGGGCTGCCAGACAGAAGACGAGCTGGCCGCTGTTCCCATCCAGCCTGGGAAATGCTCCCACCACCACCCATCTACACAGCTGCTTCTCGTTGCTCCAGGCGGACTGGAAAAACCCACCCCCATGGCCCTGGCCAACAGTGGTCTCGTGACCACCCGTCCAGGGGTCCCACCCAGCTTGAGATAGGCAGCCTGCTCAGGTGGCCACACAGGCCTCCGCCTGGCATCCACATCCCCAGCAGCAGCACCTGGGGCACATTCACAGATGCGGAGGGCTGTTTCCCCAGCTGCTCCTGGTTTCAACGCAGCCTGCCTTCCCCTACAGGAAAACTAGAGGATTTCCTCAGATCGCTGACTGATAGAGCAGCACTGGAAACAAGGAAAATGGGCAGAACGCTCCTTCCCTTGGAGGTCAGTCGCACAGCCACAGAGGACCCACCTTCGGCTCAGATGAAGCTGCCAGAGTGACTCACGGGGTCCAGCCCAGACACCCTCAATCCATGAGATGGGTCTGGAGCCGGGCAGCTGTGGAGGGGGGTCTGGTCCAAGAATAAATCCCCGAATCACCCCAGGGAGAAGGTGGCCAGGCCTTCGGAGCAAGGTGTGGATGGTGCAAATGTGTGGCTCCTGTGTCCCTGCAGGGCTGGGGCCAGGCCAGGGGCCATGACCTTCTTTTCTGGCCAGCCACTCCTGAGTGTGTGTCTCCTATGGGTAGGCACAGCATCAGCCACAGAGCACTCAGGGTTCAGTCAGGGTCCAAACTACGGGCCAAGGAATTGTCCCCTTCTGTGCATGTTTCTGTGTTTCTTCCAAAACCCTATGCATATTATTTTGGTGATATTGTAAGTGGCAAAAGTAAACATGAAAAACACATAAGCACAGAGACTTAAAGAAAAGGTCAAAATTCAGTGCCCGGGATGGTGCACAGTGGCAGGTAGGCCCACATCATCACGTGTTAGACAAAAGCTTCCCACAGAGAAGGAAGCCAGTAGTCATATTCCCTGGGAAGGCAGAAGGCTAAGAGCTGGCACCAACCAGCCTAGCTCCTTCCAGGGGGAGCCATGGGCGTGAACATCTCAAAGGTGGAGCACAAATATCAAATTCACTTTTGAAAAATTGCCAAGCACTGTTTTAGCACAGACTCCCTGAACTTACGTATCCCTCTTCACAAAAATGGTAAAAGAGAGAGATATGCACAATGTACTCTCCATGATCATTAAATATCTGTGTTAGCAGGGCACAGTGGCCCACTCCTGTGATCCCAGCACTTTGGGAGGGAGGCTGAGATGGATGGATCCCTTCAGGTGAGGAGTTCGAGATCAGCCTGGCCAACATGGTGAAACTCCATTTCTCCTAAAAATACAAAAATTGACCAGGCAGGGTGGCTCATGCCTGTAATCCCAGCACTTTGGGAGGCCGAGGCGGGTGGATCACGAGGTCAAGAGATCGAGACCATCCTTGCCAACATGGTCTCTACTAAAACTACAAAAATTAGCTGGGCCTGATGTTACATGCCTGTAATCCCAGCTACTCGGGAGGCTGACGTGGGAGGATCATTTGAGGCCGGAAGGTGGAGGCTGCAGTGAGCCGAGATTGCACCACTGCACTCCAGCCTGGGCAACTAAGCGAAACTCCGTCCCCAGAAGAAAAAATACAACGAAAACCACACATCTTGTTTCACAGCCGTGGCTGAGCGTGTGAAGTGGTGCAGCCGGCCCTCTCCGACCATTTTCCTTCTGAGCTGCAGGAAGGCAGCAGCTCAGAGGGAGCTCGTAAAGCCCAGAAGCTGATGGGACGAGGAGCAGCAGCATGGCCGACCGTCTGCCTGCACCCGCACCTGGAGGGTCCACTCCCACCTACTGCCCCACACCCTCGGCCGGCTCCCAGAAAAGACAGGCAGCCAAGAAACATCGGTTTGGCTCAAGAACTGCAGCACATGAATGTGTCGCAGCCCCAACCAGGAATGTTCCAGGGTGTTCTTGTTTTCATTCACGGACCACTAGCTTCTTGTGGGGAGGGCCCCGTCTGAGACACAGAGCTTCACAAGTTCCTTTCTGCTGGATTTCCTCTCCTCAGTAAAACATTAAAAACAGGACGAAAAGGGTGTGGTGGCTCACGCCTGCAAGCCCAGCACTTTGGAGGCCAAGGCAGGCAGATCACAAGGTCAAGAGATCATCACCAACCTGGCCAACATGGTGAAACCCCGTCTCTACTAAAAAATATAAAAATTAGGCGCAGTGGTGTGTCCTGTAGTCCCAGCTATTCAGGAAGCTGAGGCGGGAGGATCGCTTGAGCCCAGGAGTTCTGGGCTGTAGTGCGCTATGCCGATCAGACGTCTGCACTAAGTTTGGTATCAAGATGGTGACCTCCCGGGAGCCACCAGGTTGCCTAAGGATGGCTGAACTGGCCCAGGTCGGAATCGGAGCAGGTCAAAACTCCCGTGTTGATCAGTAGTGGGATCGTGCCGGTGAAGAGCCACTGCGCTCCAGCCTGGGCAACACAGCGAGACACCATCTCAAAAAAAAAAAAGTTGAAAGAAATATATAAAAATTAGCAGGGTGTGGTGGCGCGTGCCTGTAATCCCAGCTACTCAGGAGGCTGAGGCAGGAGAATCGATTGAACCCAGGAGGTGGAGGTTGCAGTGAGCCGAGATCGTGCCACAGCGCTCCAGCCTGGTGACACAGTGAGATTCTGTCACAAAAAAAAAAAAAAAAAAAAAAAAAACCCAGGAGGAAAAGATCTAGACGTAGCCACAGAAGGAAGTGAGGCCATCACTCGTAATGACTCCCCACTACGAAGAAAACCAGGCTTTTCTTAAACTGGGAACCTCACGCCTCAGTTTCCCCTCAAGTTTCTTTCTGTGGTGTGAGGGCAGAAACAGGCTTCCCTGCATTCCTCAGGAATCCCCTCCTTCCTCTAAACGCACAGGAGAGGATTTCCGAGAGCCTGTGATGCTGCTGGGAACCACACACTAGTGGCACCATCACCAACGCGCCACAACAGAGCAAATCTGCGCGGCCCTCCCCAGCTACCACTGCAAACGTGGCTCCGGCTCAGCTTGGTAAGCACTGATTCAACAAAAAGCACACAAGTTTCCTAGCTTCATTCCAGAACTGCTATTGTGGCACAATACATTCACAACAAATTCACATCGGAGTCCCCTTGGACGGGAGCTGCGGGCCAGGGAACGCACAGCGCAAGCAGGGACATTCGTGGTTCATCAGCTCCTGGCAGACGGGACTCACTTCACAGACACACAGACCCACGATCTTCATGCTATTACGATAATTTCATCTTCACAGTAAAAACGTCACAAATTCCCAGAGAAACGGAACGTCAGCCCAGCTGTTGTGCAGTGTCTTGTGGGTGCTGGTCACAGGACCCACCGCTAATCCAAGCTAATGACGAGCCATTTACTCCAGAGGTGAACCCCCCGAGGGAGGAGGACTGAAGTCCAAGCTAAAAAGGCAGAGCACAGTGAAGCGGAGGCCACTTCCTCCAGGGAAGAGCCCCCAGCCCTCCCGGGCCTGTCAGCGGTGCCCCAAACAGGAGCCGCAGTGGCCAGATCCAGCGTGGAGGTGAGTGTGAGGAGGTACCAGCCGCCACGGCACTGGCCCACATGCGTCTCAGGCGGCCGTGCTCCAGGGGTGGTGGGGCACACGGAGCTCAGGCTGTACCAAACAGTCCTAGAAAACCACAGGAAGGAGATGCCAGGGTGGCTGTGGCCCAGGGGACGGCGTCTCCCCTGCCCGCATGCCTCGCCTGGCAGCCCGAGCTCACGCGCACCCGTCCACGGCCGCTCAGGCTCCCTGCTGATGCTCAGGGGAAGTCCTGTAAAAGCCACACTCACGTCACGGCGGCGAGTCCCCGCAAGTCACCCTTCTGTGCGGACAGGGTTTGGTGGGTTGTTTTAGGAAACATCCAGAATTTCAACTGGACGTTGAGTTACTAAATGTCAACCGAACAAGGTAGTTTTAAAATGAAGGGAAATATTGCAACACGAGTGAAGGAATAGATTAACTTGCTCCTTGGATCCGGGCACGCGGCTCCTCCTACTTCTTCTTCCTCTTTTCCTGGACACACCGTGGACAGAACCTGTGACGAGAAAGGTGCAGTAAGGCCCTGGGCGCCATTTCCGCCAGCACACAGGGTGCCCGGTACCCGCCTGCCCATGTCTCCCAGAGCGGCTAGACGCCGTGGGCGGGACGGCAGCAGGAGAGACGCACGCTGTGTGGGGACGCAGCCCTCCTGCAGAAGGTGACAAATACACGTCAGTGAGCAAAACCGATTTTACACTCGAGTGTTGCTCCTGGCCGGGTGGGTCCTCCTTCCCTGGCCGATGGCAGGGTTGGTGGTGCCCTCCATCTGGGGTCTGGCGCGGCTGCAGGTACCAAGCACACATGAGTGTGGCAGCCCCTCAGGTGCAGTCAGCCAGCCTGGCACCCTGCACCAGCCCTGGAAGCTGCCGCCTCACAAGCGCTCCCTGGTGATTCTGGGCTGGGCAAGTTCTGAAGCCGCATACACAGGGGCTCCAGAACAGAGGCCGCCGTTGGCCACCGGGATGTTCTGGAGGTTCCCCACACCGGCTCACATGTGATGCAACCATCAACCCCCGCCTGCCCAGGGCCCTCCGCCCTAACAGCCTCCAACCCCTGCTTGAAACCCTGGTGCGTCACCCCCCGGCCGCATGGCGTGGGGCACCACGGTGCCATCTGTGCCCAAGGCAGGCCAGCCTGTGTCAGCACCGCGTGATGCCGTGAGCCGGGCCAGCCTGCGAGGCATGGCATCCTTTCCCTCTGCGTCCTCACACGGAACACCAAGGAGGACGGCTCTCACCGACCTGGGCGAGTCTGCCGGAGGTTCACACACACTGCCACAGTGACCTCTGAGGGCCACACAGAAGCACACACTCCGATTTCATTTTCAGAAGATATATCCATGTTTAGATTTTTAGCACAGGCAAACAAAGCCAGGTTTTCATCTTTTTATTTATTGATTCATTTGAGACAGGGTCTTGCTCTGGCGCCCAGGCTGGAGTGCAGTGGCGATCTCAGCTCACTGAAGCCTTGGACTTCCGGGCTCAAGCCATCCTCCCACCTCATCCTCCCTGGTAGCTGGGACCACAGGCACGCACCACCACCACGCCCAGCTAATTTTGTATTTTTGGTAGAGCTGGGGTCTCCCGATGTTGCCCAGATGACAGGTTTTTATTTAAATGAATCTGAGGAACAACAATGCAGAGAGTTGCCATTGCTGAGGGGAGGCAAGGGTCAGGAAGATAAGCTGCACCTGGCACCCACGCCCTTCTCTGCCAGACAGAGTAGGGAGCAGAGCCCCAGACCCACGCCCTGGCTTCAGGGCTCACATCTTGTGTATCTTTCCCAAATCTCCCTAGGGGACAAGAACCTCTCATTTCTGATGTAGGAGGGTCCCTACCTACTTCAGGAGGGGAATGTGAACGTCAGTATTACACAACTCGGTAACTACTGTCCCTGGGTGAGGAAGTCCCTCTTCTAGCTGGACAGGCACAGCAAAGGGGATAAAAAGCCACACCCAGAGCGGCCAGCCAGCCAGACACACTCCTTGAGGCCATGGTGGGGGATGCCTAAGTGGCTACCGGCCGCTAAGCCTGACAAGATCCCGAAATCGAGCGCCCTCTCCCGGGGAGGCCAGCAGTGCAGTACCACACAGCCTGGGAGAAAACAGAGCGAGCGTCCCCACACTCACCATTTCCCTTTGGGTTTCGTGGTGAGGTCCACGCAGGCAAAGTGAAACCACTCAATCGGACACTGCAAAATAAAGGGAAAAGGCACAGTCAACACACCTCGTGTTCTGTACGTGAATCCCAGGAAATGCCAACACCCACCAGCCCCGCCCCACGCAGGACTGCCCCACGGCGTGAATCCCACAGGCCACACTCACGTCTGGATTGTCACAGCCGATCATCTCCCCATAGGAGACCTGGTGGCACAGGCAGTAGGTGGGTTCGTTGGGGTCCACAGGCATGTCTAGCACGTCGGACGGGTGCACGGACAGGATGGCATCAGTGAACTCAGACCTGCAGGGTGGGGGTGGGCACCACTGATGGCCATGGCGGGAAGTGAGGCGGTGCAGACAGCACAGGCCCTTCTGCCTCTGGCTCAGGGTCCCCTCACCCCGGAACTGCGAAGACGATTATTCCAAAGGGGATATCTATACTGAACTCTGAGGTACACATAACAGATAAGTTTGCTTCCATTTTTCTTATTATCCTTTAGAAATGAAAGCAATTCCCAGGGCCTGCCACTGAAGCCACGCACTGACTGAGCACACACCTTGTGGACGTTTCCTTCTTGGAGCGAATGTTTTCAAAACCTCAATAACCCCTCTGACTGTGCAGTGTTCTTCCAAGAATGCACAGCAAGAAAATAATCAAGGAGATGAACAGACTGTCAGCTGAGGATAGAAAGAACAATGCTACCCACAAAAATCCAGGAACAGCAGCAGCTGGCAGCAGAGGGGTGGAGACCTCACCCCCAGCTACGTACCCAGGTGGGGACACAGGGGCACAGAGGGTACCCAAGAGGCTGTGAGGCGCAGCGCTCACCCACAGCACAGAGACTCTGGTCCCATTCTGGGGACCTCAGTCCCTACCCCGTCTCCCCCCGGGCCCTCTGGACTCACCTCCCTTCTGAGGCCATCCCTCCAAAGACCCTGGCCCCTTTGGGGACAAACACACGTCACCTCCGCCCACAGATGGCTGACACTTGAAAGAAGCCTGCTTGCATCCCACCCGACTGACAGGTGTCAGAACAGCCCGCACAGTCAACAGCTCTCCCATAACCGTGACCTCCTCCCAGGAGAACAGCGTGCGTCCTACGCCCAGGCCCTCGACACACCTACTCAGGCACCTCTGCCCGACACTCACAAAACCAGCAGCTCCCCACACGTGCCCCGTACCACCCACCACCCACCCAGCTGCCCACCTGGCGCAGGGCCCCTTCCAACCACATGCCATCCTTTCACTCCTCTATCCCCGCCAGCTCCCACGTGGGTTTCCACACAGCAGGCTGGCGGGTGTTCCACCCCGGCCACGCCTCCCTCGAAGCCTGCTGTCTGCAGCACCACAGACCTCGGGGAGACCGTCCTGTTTGAAAGGGAGGCACTTGGAGGAAATTGATTATTTTGTATTTCAGTATTTTTCAAATAAACTTAGAAGCTGCAGGTAGTATAAACAGTGTACTCCCATTAGTATAGAGAGAAAACATATCTTCCCCATCCCACCCTCCAACCCAAGAATACCTAGCTGCTATGTAAACACGCAGGTTAGCTGCAGGAACGTGGCTGTGAGAAGATAAACAGCCGCAATGAGGGGGAGCCAAGCAGCAGAAGTCTGGGTCCCAGAGGGAATCAACACAGCTTCTCCTTGGATACCTGTCTAAAGCTTTTCCACGCCCTTGTGATTACTTGCATGTACACACACGCGCGCCCTTAGGCTCAGCATGCAGCCAGCCTCCCCACTGCCCTCTGGCATGGGGCACCCGCCTGTCTGTGCTTTGCAGGCAATCTGCTCTTCTGCTCTCTCTGTCTGGGAATAGGCAAGGGTTTCTCTTTATAAATATATATTATGAAATCTATAAATGCCACAAGTCTGCGTCCTGGTGCTGCCAACACTGTTGTCAAGCAGCCTTAAGGTCTCTGCTCCGACAGTGGCTCAGAGGGTCTTCGTCTCAGCCACCTGCCAATTCTGGGCTGCCATCTGTGTCTTCTCCTCCATGGGGCTCCTGCGGTCTCTTCTCGTCACTTCTTGCCCGCAGAGAGCAGGGCAGCACCCTCTGCGGCCAACAGTCCCGAAACACTTCCCGTGATGCCATCCTCTTCTGTGCTGAGTCTCATTCTGTCTACAGAGCCCAAGCCGACATCCCTACTGACTGAGCTGCCACGTGACCTACGTCTCAGCATCACTGGGTTCGAGGGTGCTGGCCAGAGTCAATGGCAGTGGGAGAGGGCCGGGGGCCTGAGGGGATGGCCCAAGCAAAGGCACCCCAGAAGCTGAGGCCAGCATGGAGGGTTCACTGCCTCTCCAGTCGCACCTGAGGGAGCACCACGGTGCATGGCCAGGGAGCAGGCCCTGAGGAAGGCTGCCAGGAGGCCATGGGGAACCCTGTACCTTGCACAGGCTGGGGCAACCCCAGCTGTCAGCGGCTGCTCCCTCCGGCACCACTGTCACAAGAAGCACTCTCTGTGCTAATCCCGAGGTGTGGAGGGCACCCCTCACCAGGAGGCGCCAGCGAGCCCTGTGCCCAGCCCGATGGCTTCCTGCCTGTCCAAACTCCAGGATTCCAGGCACTACAGGTGACACTGCCCTTCGTCCACACACACAGGTTCCGTGTTGCCAGAGCAAGGCCACAGGGCAGCAGCAGTGCAGGGGCAGCCTTGGGTCACAGGATCTCAGGCGAGACTCGAAGTCTGTGCGGTCTGGGAACACTGCATTTCAGGAAGGGCCCGGCCACGCGGGGAACAGGCCTGGAGAGGGCAGGCCACACGGACATGATGGCACACGCTCCCGGGTCCCCAGCAGGGAACAAACAGGACCTGCCTTGAAGCAGAACAGCCTGGCACCACAGCATGACCAAGAGAGGCGTGAAAACCCACTGTGCCAACAGTCCAGGGATGCGTGCCAGAGTCCAGAGCCCAGGGACAGGAGGGCTCTCACGCACTGCCAGGAGGATGTCCCTGGAGCCACACGGGAGCACACCCCCGCCCTGGCAGGCCCAGGCTTTGGGTCCATCTGACTGGTCCTCTGCCCACCGCACTGCACTATCCTCCTGTCTCTCCTGAAGCTTCAGAGCTGGCCTCACCAGCCCGTCTCGACATCTTGCAACGGGACAGCAGCAGCACTGACACGCGGGGGCACAGAGAAAGAAGAGATTCGCACACAAGCTAGATCCAGCCCAGAGCCACGGGGGCCCCACACTTGTCGCCATCTGTGATCATCTTCTCATCTATCACTGCCACAACCTGCCCGGCAGGCAGCGCTGAGCTCCCGGCTCCACTGCTACTCAACAGCGCTACGGCTTCTGTCACGAGGCCACGGGATATTCCTGTGTTTGAGCTGAGCTCCCGGTTCCGCACTGCCAGTCCACAGCGCCACAGCTTCTGTCAGGAGGCCACAGGATCTTCCTGTGTTTGCAGAGGTGCTGGTTGTTCCTGAGGTCTCTGAAGCAGGGCAGAGTCCTCAAGAGGAAACCCTGACCCCAGCAGGGAGTTGGGGTCTCCTTCACCACCGCGAGGACCCCCTGTGCCTGCATTCCTCAAGCCTAGCACACTCCTGAGAAACAGCTCTGGGTGAGGAAGAGGCCAGCAGGAGACCCGCTCTCACGCAGAAAAGGCTCAGTCGGGATGGGGCCTTCAGGTTCGGAGCAGGAAGGAGCAGGAAGACTCAGAATGCTGTTGCCACTGAGTTAGAAAACACAAAACCCAGCAAGTCACAAAACCACATTCTCAAAGATGTGGGGGAGCTGTGGGGCCACAAGCACTGGATGACCTGCAGTGTGGGGGGCGGGGGGTCCACGTGTGTCATGTCCTGAGTGAGGCTGGGCTGCCCGTTGGGCCACGCTGAGCCCACACAGTCACACATGGCAGCTCATCCCCACAGACATTTACAGAGTCCAGAGGCTGCACAGACAACTAAAAGCAGAGGGAAAGATCCCTGCAGCCTCGGCACTCTCAAGGAAGGGTCTGCTCGGGCATCGCCCGTCTCCTCCTCTGTACTTCACAGCGGCAGAAGCCGTGGAGGCAGGAGGCAAGAGAGGAAATCTAAGCCCACCGAAGTGCAGATGGACCCACGGGGCAGCCTCCGGCTCCCTGGGGCTCTCAATCAAGAGCTCAGGGCCTTTGAGGGGCCGGGGTACAGCTGAAGCTGAGACCCTGCCACACCGCAGCACCCCCAGCCCCATAGGCCTGGATGAAAACAGAGCGAACAAATCCTGGGGGGGAATAGAAACTCCCTCTCCACACTTCCTTTATAGCTAAGGTCAGACAGCTGATAACAAACCGTAAGACACATAAACCAGCAGGAAAATATAAGCTGATTATTTTTCCCCTAAGCTGCTTGGCAAGGAATGGTGGCGCAGGCCTGTGATGCTGGCTACTCAGGCGGCCCTCCCACCTCAGCCTCACAAAGTGCTGAGATTACAGGCATAAGCCACAGCCCAGCCCTACAACCTCTTAAATGGAAAATGTATGAAAGGAAATTAAAACTAAATTAGGGCCGGGTACATTGGCTCACGCCTGTAATCCCAAGCAAGACAGGCAGATCACTGAGGCCAGGAGTTCAAGACCAGCCCGCATAACATGGTGAAACCCTGTCTCTACTAAAAATGCAAAATTAGCCAGTCATGGTGACAAGCACCTGTAATTCTGGCTACTCACGAGGCTGAGGGAGAGAATCGCCTGAACCTGGGAGGCGAAGCTTGCAGTGAGCCGAGACTGTGCGAGCACACACCAGCCCAGCGACATACCAGGACCCTCTCAAAGAAAAAGGAAGAAAAACATCAGAGACCGAGGCAGGCAGGTCACTTGAGGCCAGGAGATCGAGACCAGCCTGGACAACATGCTGAAACCCGTCTCTACCAAAAATACAAAAATTAGCCCGGTGCGGTAACGCTCGCTTTTAATCCCGGCTAGTTGGGAGGCTGAGGCAGAAAAACGGCTTGAACCCGGGAGGCAGAGGCTGCAGTGAGCCGAGATTGTGCCACTCACTCCAGCCCGGGCAACAGAGCCAGAACCTGTCTCAAAAATAAATAAATAGAGTAACAGAAACAAAGTGAAGTACACACAGAAAAATGCTGACAGAAAGTAAGGAGAGCCCCAGTGACCTGTGAGAAAATCTGAGCCTACAAACACACAGACAACCGGAGTCTCAGGGGAGGAGAAAGGAGAGCACAAAAGTGTTTGAAGAACTGCCTGAAAATTTTCCAAACTTGATGCAAAGTATAAGCCAACGTTTAGTTCAAAGACGCTCGACGAGTTCCACGCAATATATATATACACACAAAATCACATCAAGACACAGTT